AAAAAAAAAAAAATTAAATATTACAAATTAGGGCGTTTTATTTTAAATATTTAATTAACTATAAATTTTTAATATTATTTACAATAATACAGTGGTTTCTTTGGATATCAACAATTTTATTCAACAAATTGAATATGCGGAATCAAAACCCGTAGAGTTATCTGAAGAACCAACACTATTACAGAATACATTATCTGAATCAATACCCATATCATCTTTGAATTTTGAAAATGAGATTATTTTTTGTTTATATTGAGCTTTTAATATTTGACTTTATAATGAGTTTTGTATAAAATTCAGTTTTATTTAAGATTGCATTTAAGTATAATAAGTGTACATAGTTTATGCTGCACGAATACACGATTCTATAGTATTAATATAAAATAACTAATTCCTGATAGTAAATTTTGGAACTACTGTTATTCGAAAATTTAATAGCGAAAAAAACGATAAATAAATTTTATTTTTTTAATAGAATATTATGAAAAATGATCTTGCCAAATATATTACAAGTAATATTTTATTTTTTTAAACACTGATCTTTTACTTTATTTCGATAAGATACAATCGTCAAATAAAAACAAATAAAAATAGCTGTAGTTGAAATAACTTTGCTTCATGATAATTATTATAATAAGTAAAACGTGTAAAAAAAAAACATTAAAACATTTCTTATCAAATTATATCAAGTTATAGTAACAAAAAATTTCCCTGCATCATTACTTTGCATCTCATTTTGTATTTACCATATTGAGAAGAAATCAGACACTTGACTTACTTGACTTCTAATACGACGCTTGATCATCCAGAATTTCGTAATAAAGATAATATTAAAATTCTTTTACCATTACTTTAGATGAATAATCGGCATTCTGAGACAAAGAATCGAACTAAAGTTTTCTTTGTTTTTTTATAAAAGGGTTACCTTCAGAGAGAATTTGATGTTAACTTTAAATTTGATAAGCCAAACAGTCTGTAATTTGGACTGGACAAAGATATGGACTATACCTAAATCTGCTCAAAAATATGAGTATGGTCCAAATAATAATATTGAAGCAAAGTATTGTAGAATTCGCTTATTAATTTTCTGTTTCGATTCATAATTGCTCCAATTTCTTCTAACCATTTAAAATCTTAAACGTAGTGTTTCAGGCGAAGCTATTACAAAACCTGAAACATTTCACCACGTACGTATGTGTATAAAATTATATTACAATTTTAAATAAGTTACTTATACGTATTACAAATTGAATACGTTTACGTATTAAGTAAACCTTATTATTAAATGTATATATATATATATATATATATACAGTATATATATATATATATATATATATATACAGTATATATATATATATATATATATATATATGTATATATATTTAATATTTATACGGAACCCGGT